ACGACACAGCAAAGGGAGAAGTTGTTGACAGCCATACCCAGGCCAGCGAAATCTCTTGTGCTAGAAAGGACAGCGACTCGATTCCCATCGAATAATCCATGCAAGAAACAGGCGCTGGCTTGGAGGACCTGACGTAGAGTAGTAAGGCTGTGCAAGTACGGCACAACCTAAATAACCGAATAGTACGCGTGGCATACGGGGTTCGACAAGGCCAACGCCTCAGCAGAAGAAAATTCAGAGGTTGAAATCCGTATTGCTGCTCAAAATGAACACCGGGAATGAAGTTTGGCGAGCGCAAAGCCGAGAGCAGTCGGCTGGCATCGACTGGTCCCTGCAACTATGGTGGTGGGGTCAGCCTGGCGAGTTCCGTGCTGCAGGCCTTGAGGACGGGTTGTTGGAGCCATTTGACAGCAACGACTGGACAGGATCAAGCACTGACCCCTGCAAGGCAGCAGGGCAGATCTCAATCGTAGCCGTAACTGTGCACAGACTGTTGTCCACATGGAGTTCTGTAAAGCGGTTGTCGGTTGCCACGCGGCGAGACTAAAAGCTTGCATGTTGTCGTATGCGTGGTAGGATAGGGTAGGAGACGCAATAAGGAAAACTTGATCGGTGTGGTAGTCGTTTAATTCGAGGGTTTCCCTACTAGTCAGCGAGGGCTAGGGAAGCTGGGCAATGTTGGGGCGATGGCCTATTTTGCGGTGGACAATGCGTGAGACGATGGACGGTTGCCCGATCGAATTGAGACAAACCCAAAGATGTTTCTGGCCGGGATACGGCCGATTTTGTGCTTGAAATATGGAGATACCATGATTTTGAAGCCATTGTGGAAATATTGATGAACCTGGAGGGTGAATAGGCCGGCAAGGTAAGAGGACGCTGAGGTTGACCACGTGGCAAGTAGAGTAGGACTGCCTAGGCAGTAGGAGAAGCCGCTTGAGTATTTAGCAGTCAGGAAGAGATGAAATTCCTCTTCTTAATAATGCAGGAGGGAGTATGCGGTGATGAATGAAGCTTTCAACGAAATTTACGTTGAGCAAACAGGCTGCGTTTGTGGAAGTTGATGGCAAAGCTTCGACAACAACCAACAAGTGGGTGGGAAGGCGAGAGTCAGGCAGGTGGGTACGCGAACGAGAACGAGTTGGATACTCGATCGGGTATACGACAACGTGACGACAAACCAGCGCGCTTGGGCAAACAACGAAAAAAAAACAGCACGCCACGCATTGTTCGGCGCTAATGACTGTGTCTGTTTGCAAGGTCTATTCTACATACATACTCGTCCAAGTGTGGCTATTGTGAAGGCATGGTCGACGAGACGTCATCCCAAGTTGCCATTGCTACAGTAGGTATGTATGTAGTTAGAGGGATGGCGAGAGCGCGACGCTGGGGACGCCGAAGTGCCAAGCCAGGGAAGCTAATAAGGTTGTGTCCACTGAAGTTACAGCGACGCTGGTGGTATTGGTACGGCAAGGTGAAGAAGCAAACGACTTCTGTGTGTGCTGTGGCGCACCGGGGGTGGGCATCGTCTCGCACCGCGGTGGGGATGCTGGCGACGATGGCGGGCCCCTGATTGTCAGAGCTAATGGTGGCTTCCCGTTAGTGTCCCCAATACATGTATGGATCAAGGGCACTCGCAGACGGAGACATGCTGATACTGTGACAGCCAGCCAAAAGGTGCTGCCTCAATGAACCCGACAAGATCTTGACAGGGTGAGAGGGCGTCGTTGTCACTGCCTTGGAAAATCAGCCACACCCAAACGCCTCGAAGCGTACCAAGGCTGGAAGCTATGACAGGTTTGCGCGGGCTGGTTGGTACAGACTGTTGGCGTTGAACTCTTTGCTGCTAAGCGTGCTACCTGCAACCTATGTACTCAAAGAGGTGATAGAAGAAAGTCACTGTTATATTGAGTAACAAGACATGCTCACGATCTGAGCAAGTCAATCTGTGCTGGCACCTTCGTTGCGGGCGTTTGACGCCAAGACGTAGGAGGGTGGCGAAGGGGCCCTTGTTTCTCGATACACGCCTCTTCGAACAGGGCAGTCTTGGGCAAGGACGCTAGCTATACTCTCTAAGGTTTGGATGTTGTGTTTATGCTGGACGGTGAGAGAGACTGTTGTCAGTGGCTTATAACAAGCCAGTCTGCCCGCCCCTCGGGGATGCGAGAGGAGGCTGCCCAATGGTGACTGTTGAATTCGCTTTTGCATTTTTGCATATTCGCAAACTCTCACGATCGAGCTTGACTGGTGACCTTCAACGACCCCAACCGGGTTCACTTCCATTGCGAGCACTGAGCACCTGGCACTCTCCAGCCTTGCGCCTCAACCCCTGCTTTTGGGCGGAACTGACCGAGACCAGACCAAGACGAGCACCAGGAATTATTTCAAACAATCTGGAAGCCAAAGAAGCAACGACTTAATTAATCTGGCTTGTTGGAGATCGACAATCCCGGACAGTTTCTAAACCCAGAATCGAGCCCAAGAACGCACTCGACGTCACACTGACTGAGAGAACGACAGGGAAGGACAAGACAGAATCCTTTGAGCTCGCCCACATCTATTTGTCGGCAGGCTCCATCCCAAGTCAGTACGTTGTTTCTGATTGTTTTCATTGTTATTTTTTATCTTATTTTCCCCTTCGCGTCGTCACGCCATTCGCTCGCGGACCCGTCCGTGATGTGAAGCAATTTCGCGGCCGGCTGGGTTTGCAGCCCTGTGGGCGTTTGCCCATCGCCTTGGCCGTGGGCGACGACGAAATATTACGGCGAGACAGGGCGCGGCGGGCGGGATGTTGGCTTCCCCTCAAGAAGATCGGCTTGTGGTGTTGTTTGCCATGACGGTATCCGGCGATTTGGTTGGACGCCGCCCAGGGTGGCTTCTTCAGCAAAGTTGCTGGAGACAGAAGTGTTTGCTTTTCTGGTCCCTTTCCTATTTTTGCTCGGCGCCGTTTTCTGCTGGGGCCTGCAGTCTGGAGAGCGAGACCCCTGCAGCTGCTGGTTGTGTACCTTATTTGGCAAAGCACAGGTCAAGGTGCTGGTGCAAAACGGCCAGGCTCGGGCTGCCACCGAGAGAGTGGAAGCAGCCAAAACTCGACACGCCCGGCTCTATCTGCGCTCTATTTTGAGGGGAAACGGAAAAGAGGAGAAAAGAAGGAAATGACATGAAGAGAAATGAAATGGAAAATCAGGTTAAGCGACGTGATTGTTTTCTTTTCTCTCCATCTCCTGTCATTCCATCAATCCCTGCTTGCGAGCTCGCCAACAGCCATCCATCGTCTTCTCTGAAGGCTCTCAAGTGAGACCTTGACAGGCGGTGGGCATACCGGTGACCCGCCATTTGTTTGCTGGAGTGCTATAAAATTAGTACCCTGTACCCTGAATTACAGATACCAAGGTGCATCCACTGCAAGCCCACAAGGTTAGTACGTCCACCAAGGTAACAGCAACCCCCCGGCCCGCAGCCTCCAGTGCGTGCCTTACTGGTATTACCAGCTCCAGGCACCGCCCAAGGCTTGGCCCCCCCTGTCAATCTGGTCTGGCTGTGGCCTGTCGGGCATGACATAAAGCGCGGCCAGGGCCCCGACAGGGCGGCTACAGGAGAAGCAAGACACGGCCAAAGACGACAAGGGAAAAAGAACCTAAGGAAAAGTACGGATAACAAAGTTCTTAAAATCGACTTATTACACACGACTTGCCGCTGGTTTCCATCAGACCAAGATTTTCCCTTTATCCGCTCTCTTTCCAGGGGATCCTGTCGTTGTCGTGTCTTGCTCCAGCCAGAGGTAGCACGCTTGCCGCATCAATTCCAATTTCCTTCATTTTCAATCCGACTTGATCCTTTTTCTACCTTGCCTTCCCTCCCTTCTCTCTTCTCATCTTTTCCATCCTTCCCCCTCGCTTCGCTTTTTGTCATCTTACTTCCTTGGCATCATCAACACTGATCTACCTACCGCCTCCTGTGCAGTGGCGACGTGGCTGACCACCCCAACTGACTCGCAAAATTCAGACAAGCCTCTGCGTCGGCTAGTCCGCACCGCTTCCCGCAAGCTCCATTGCTTGGTCCATAACTACAATTACCACTGCGACCACCACACGGCGGCCCACGGTACTGGTACGGTACCAAAGTACCTTCTGCCTCTCTCTCTCTGGCCATTCACACAACAAAGTCAACGTCCCATTCCTGCCCGACAAATCTCATCGTCAGCCATCCATAAGCCTGCCTGCCATACAATTCCTCGACCGACCTTCAACCTGGATAGTCCTGCATCTTCGCCTCCCTAGCGGCGGGATTCAGCCTTCATCGCGCATCGGGTGTCCCGACTTGCTTTTTGCACCACGCGCGCATCGCTTGTCTTTGCGCCGTCTTCTGCATCGCCCGCCTGCTGCCTCACCGTCTTCGACTCTTCTCTGCCTCCCCCCCTCTCCAAGTCCCTCGACGCGCGCTCCCCCCCCCGTTTGCGCCGACTCGTCTCTGAGACACAATATTGCCTAGTCCCATCATCGACAAACACAGGTCTCTGCCACCTCTGTTTCCCACCGCCGCAACTTCCATCTCGGTCATCACAAGCCGGCTCTTATATCTGGCACCACTCAATCTGTGTTCGCTGCGCCGCTCTTCTCCGTGCTACGCAGCACATATACTTCCTGTTCCCGAGCGCTGAACCTGGCCTCGTGCGCCAACCCCACGATCCATCGCCGTCCGCGAAAGTTACACTCTCCCACCTGTGCTCTGCGATCCGCACGTCCCACGCACTCGTATCGATCTCGAAATACATACCGACGCGCCGAGTTCCCTCTTTGGTGCGTAAGCCGGCCGTCCGTGTCAAAGTTCGTCCCAGCCTCGGCCAAACCCGATCACCGTAACACACCACCAGTTCTGCGGTGTACGGTTCGAGCTCTGTGATGCTATCTGTGCTCCCCCAGGCGATGGACCTGACCAACGTGCTGAATAACAGAGGAGGCACCATCGTACAACACCCACACCATTTCGCAAACGACTTTATGAATCAACAACACCATCTTGCCTTTGGCAAGACCGAGCCCGACATGGACCGTTCAAACTCGCCACACATTTCCGACCATTCGGCCTATTCTGCCCATACCATGCCGCGATCCTACCACTCTCCCGCCGTCATGCAGACGCCCATGCACATCCCGAGCTCTATGCCTAATACTATGCACGTGCAAGGCTTTCCCGACATGCAGCACATGGCTGGCGTCCCCAATATGGCCATGGCGCACATGCCGCCACCGACCCCGGTCGATGACGGCAAGAAGCAAAAGACACATCAGTGCAGCACCTGCGACAGCGCCTTTGCGCGCCGAAGCGATCTCAGCCGCCACGAGCGCATTCACTCTGGAAATAGACCCCACACATGCGACGTCTGTGGGAAGCAGTTCATTCAAAGATCTGCCCTGACCGTTCACAAGCGCGTCCACACTGGCGAGAAGCCGCACCAGTGCGAAACCTGCGGCAAGAAGTTTGGCGACAGCAGCTCCCTTGCTAGACATCGACGGACGCATTCCGGCCAGCGACCCTACGTTTGCCCCTTTGCCGACTGCCAAAAGACATTTACGCGAAAGACGACCTTGACGCGCCACAAGAGCAACCATGTTGGCACTGTCGAGCAATCAGCCGTAGCGCGAGCGGCCGCCTTGGCCAGCGCTGGCTCCAAGAATCTCGTCCAGGCTCGCTCCGATGGAGACCATCTCTCCAGCCATGGCTCGCCTCTAACAACGCCCTCGCCTGCCCAGCGCGCCATGTCCATGTCTCCTGGCATGGACCTAGCGGCCGGCCTAAACCGCCATCCCGCCGAATTCCAATATCTGCAGCAGGGAGGGCCGCTGCCCGCCCACCTTCGCGTCGGCAGCCCTACATCGACATCAAGCGGTTATAGCAACCCCGGCGCGATGCGCCCGACCTCGCATCCTGCCAGCTATGGACCGCCTCCCACTCTCGAGCCCAGCGTGGAGCACCACCAGCAAGGTTCAAATAACGGCAGCACCGCCAGCAGCCCTCACATGAGCAATATGGGCTGGCAGTCGCCTTCCCAACATATCCAGTCACCGTCGCAGCACATTCCATCGCCCGCTCACAGTGCTGCTGCAGGCTACGTGTATCCTGACCCGGACACGTATCCTCCCACGACGGCCGCGATGAACCAGATGTACTATAACCCGCCGCCACAGATGCGACGACCTCAGAGCGCTGAACCAGGGCTGGTCCACATGGCCTAGGTGAATCAACTGGACTCGAGCATCCTGGACGACTAGTGCTTTGACGAAAACATTCAACAAGAACAACAAACCACCATATAACAAGACCGCGACATTTGCTGTACATGACCATTTGGAAGGCTATAGATTGGTTGGAGTGTGATACCCCCTTTTGCACTTTATTCATCGGCGATGTGGTGTCCGCGCTCATGATGATGCGTGGGAAGAGTTATCCGCTCCTAAGCGTCAAGACCAGACGAAGAGCATCATCATCAGCTCATCCTCGGGTGTCGCCGCGCTCAATTCGCATCGCCGCACGATACTACTACCCCTCTTTTTAATAACGATCGTCTCTTCGGAGCGTGGACGACCTTTTCATTCCTCTCTATGTTTGTTTTGTGCTTACACTGATTTTCTTTTCTTTTTGTCTTCTTAACCAGCAATGAAATAGACTAGGGAGGCTTACAACCAAAGTGCACAGTTCTTTTTTTTAATCAATGACTTTTGGGCGCAAATTTTGGCTTTGGTATTTGTCTTCCTACCAATCAATCACCGGGGCACTCGGCGGATTCATAATACTTCTCATCTTGCCGCTCCATGTGCACTCTTTCTTTTTTCTCCGCTCTCTTTGGTTTGGTATCCGGAATAGGTGGTCGGCGCGAGAGGATAGACAGCAACATGTAGTGAAGGAATCAATGTGGCTTGTCTAACACCCTTTTTATTTTCTTTTTTTTTATTGCGAGGTTATAGATCCAGCTTCACTTGTTCTTTCCACCCACAAAAGATATACCCTGAATATGAAGTCGCATGATTGCAACAACACCTTCATTGAGGGTCGGCCTTAAGCGGAATGTGACTTGTGCGTGGAGCGATGGGCTGCTACCTGTTCTCGCCATCCGGTCGGTTCACCTTAAACTGACGTGAGTTGAAATGTCACTGTACAGGATGTAGCGGTTTGTGTGGGGATGGCTGCGATTGAGCAAGTCTTCATGCCTCTTTGGAGAGATTTATAGATTACCGCACAACCACGAAACATCCCCCCCCCCCTCTCCCACTCTCTCTTTAGTCATAGCCGATAGTTTCAACACAATACGAAATCATGGCATGTTTACCACCAAATTGGCTTCAATACAGAGTGAGCCTCGCAGGTGCTTCAGGCGTCGCCTGAGCAGCTACTTATTGACAATCCACGGGACGCCGTCCTTCACGGATGTCGGCTCAGATAATTATAGGGCCTGTAATTCGTCGTGCCTTAAGAGGAAATGGAGGCTGCCTCGACTGCCGTTGAGCAGGCCGGGTATCCGCGTTGCAGCAAGCCCCAACCCGGCGCTGCTTTCTTTTTGGCATCGGTCCATGGAACACTGTCACAGCGAAGAGGGATTTGGGCTATCCCTGTTTCAGAAGTCGGATACCCTCTGGGAGATTGTTGGGCTCGAAAGCGGCCAATTGCAAAATCCTCCCGACATCATCGGCGCTTCGGACCCTTGCCTGCCGGCTTCGGCGCCGCGACTACGCCGCAGCCTCTTACTGCCAGGATCCTCCTTGGTGCACATTGCATACCGTGAAAATTCTGTGAGGGATGCGTTTAATTGATAGGAAGGAGGATCTTCTGTGTCTTGGGATTTCAGCATCGTGTTGGGTTAATAAGTATGCGCCATACTGAATCAACGTTGTCTTGTGCAGCAACAGTCTGCTCCTTTGGCAGCTTGGGATTCGATTATTGGGTGCCTCATCGCTTGCGAGACCCCGGCTCTGTTGCAGCAGAACGTCAGATCCGGTATCCGGTATCCATCTTGTCGCGCCCTTGAACAATTTGCCCTGCGCACAACGATATTTCGGCGTCTCGTCCATGCATTGTGGACTGCTCGGCCGGCCTGCGACTTGGCGCAGCCATGGTGGGGGGTTTAGTAGAAGATGGTAGGAAGATGGTAGGAAGATGGCTGCCGGCGCGAAGGAAGAGAGTGAAAATGGCGGGGGACGACAATTAATGAATTGTAATCACCAGCCACCCCTGTTCCTGCTGTGATGCCCGTCGCAATTCGAATTGTCGAAATTCCGCAACCCCCCCCCCCGCTTTAGCATAGTTCCCATGTCATTGCGGCTCGCTGGCGCATGCGGAATTGAACAAGAATTGCCCCCGCCAAAAACATGGCGGTGGCATGAATGACATCTTTGGAACACCGTCTCGGAGCATCGTCCGGGAGAGTGATTGGCTGCCCGCTGCCTGCGAGGCTGTGTGCGGGACGAAGGTCGCGGAAAAGTGACGATGGGTCCGCGAGACGAGGGATCAAAGCGAGTGGAACAGGCAAGATGTTGTGGATAATGCTGCAGGAAAAGTCATTGTGATGGGGTTGCGAGTTGGCCATGAACCATCCACCGACATCAGGAGAGAGATCAGTAACCAGGCTGACAGCTAATATCTATCATTTGATCAAGAGGATAAGCGCACAGCGGCAGCATGGACCAGCGGTTAATTACTAATTTAACCAACTACGGATCAACTTGGCATGGTTTACATGCGGGAGTCGGCTGGCGGTCGGCCAAGACGAGCTAAACTCTACTTCGTACTTTACTTTTCCCTCTGGCTAGGAGGGTGAATGTAGAAAGGGGGGGAGCACACAAAGTCCGAGGAATAAGGTGTCAGTCAATGGTCGACACACGTATACTAATCATTTAATAAAGCGACGACGCACCGACGCCAAGGAGACCTCCCTCAGCTCCAAACAGTGACCCCCAAAAGTGACGCGAAAAGAGGCGTTCAGCTTGTAGAGGTGGCGGCAAGGCCCAACAATGGGCGGCCTGGTATTTAGTCCCTCAACTACAAGTCAGACGAGGAACGAGAGAAAACGGCCACAAAACACCTGATACATGCGTCGAGTGGGCGGTGGCGTTCCGTGGTACGATGGCAAAGAGCGAGGCCTTTCGAGAAGAAGAATACAAATCAGAAATAGACGACGCCCATTCTAATTGCCTGTTTAGGCAGTCCGGAGAAACAGGGGTCGCGACACCGATGCGTGTGGCCTCGCTGATGACTGGCTGAACTCGACATGGGGGTCATGAAACCTTGGTTCTTTATAAGTAATCATCATTCCCTTGCCCTCTGCCACATCACATCTCAACTTTTCCTCAGGGTCCAGACGAGACATTTGATTCTCGTCTGGAGCTTGGCGCGGCTCTGATGTGTCTCTGTTGACAACCCTGTCCAACAAAAATACTGTACATATGTAGGCACACCGTCTCCGGAGACAACGCTCCATATGTGCGCCAGCTCATTTGGATCTTGAGTCGATGGGCTGCAACACGAGCGTCAAAGCCAAGCAAACGTGTGTTGACTTGGCAGACGAGAACCCTTGCCATGTGTGTGTCAGCCCTCCCACTATTTCTGGCCTCGGTCTACGTTTTGTCCCCTCCCCTTCACACCTCCCCGCCGTCACCTTGACTTTTTCGATCCTTTTGACGCCTGTGTTTTCCTTCAACTAGGTATAATCTTGTACGATCTGCCGCCTTACCAAGTGGCAAGTGTCCAGACCACGCAGACAATCTGTCCACCAGTATTCGCTAGAGATGAAATCCCCTCCCTAGTTTGTTGAACAGGTGCGAGTGCTGGGAGCCACCTCAGTTTGACGGGGAAACCCTATCACTCAAAGAACGCAGGCCAGTCTCCGCTTCCATTTCTTTCGGCCGAGCGAGGCCCAGTACAAATTCGTCGATCCCAGCCGTCGCAATCGGACCACCTTTTGACTACAAGTAATAGCGCTCTCAGCTCGGACCTACTAACCTTGCTGGCAGGTTCAGTGGTGCAGGGTGAGAGAGCTTTGTGGAAATCCGTTAGATCGGCAGCATCAGAAAGAAGCATCTCTCTTGTCAAACGTTTGTTTGTTGTCGAGCGAGCAAATGAGCAGCATACCGTACGATTGATGGTAGTTGATGTACACAACAGAATTCATCGCTCAAGGCCGCCATTCGAAGAGCTGTCTCATAATACGTAATAAAAGATCAAGGCGTTCTTTTCTCTATTTCTATACCATTCGCTTATCTAGACAACCAAGAAAAGCAAGCCACACGTCCGTCGCTCCCCCCGTTTTTTCTTCTTCTTCTAGGCCGTTTTCTTTCTGGCCGCGTGGTTGCAGGTAATAAATGTTTTGTCAACAATTACCTTCCATCACACACCCCCCTGCAACAAGGCCGATTTTTTTCAACCACCCAAAAAAATTAAGTAATTATCCCGGATTAATGATCAGTAATCCATTGAGCCACGACAGCAGCTCTCAGCGGCACAGAAGAAGAAAAAATCGATGACAAAAATAATCATTAATCTCAGCCGACGGGTTACCTGCAGGACGATGCATGGCCAGCTGTGAAGCGGAAGGGGGCAACGAGCAAACACAGCAAAAGAGGCGACAACTTGCGCAATTGCGGCGACGACCGTGTCCATCGCCACAGCCCATGATTAGTATTAGTAGAGATTGGTGTGAATGCGAGATCCAGCGCGGCACCCCCCCCCCCTTCCCCCCTCCCTTTCTCGCTCGATAAGTGCTCGACTAAAAAGAACTAAAGAGAGATGCTCTCCGCGGAGGACTTGGTCAAGTCCCCGCCAACAAAGTCTTAGCAGTGGTTTAGCGGCATCATGGCGCCAATATGATGCAAGAGACACTCTTCAAGTAAAGCGGTGTCAATCGACGTCGACTTCTACCACGATTGCTTGCGGCCTGGCTGTGACGGGCGGGTGTTGGGCTGGCTGGGATTGACAGCCACAGTGGACAAGACCTTCCAGCCTATTATTACGTTGATAGACAAAGAGACTTGGTTTCTCGCAAAAAGAGCATCCATCCGTCTAAGAGCAAGAGGAACTACGACTAACGTACCACTAAGTTACAGGCCCCCCCTCTCTTCACTTGCGACTTCCCACAAGCGCCCACCCTCCCTCTCTCTCTTGGGAGACTCAGGCCAGCTGTCGACGGTTTAAAAAAGACGGTGGAACCTGGGAGTTAATTACTTATCCCGCCTTTATGGATCGAGTATGCAGCCCTCGCAGCGGCACGACCCCCCGTCCTTCTGCGGCCCACCTTGTCCTCGTCGTCGTACCAAGTCGACCTTCCCGGTCTGCGCCGGCCTAGTTTTAGGTACAACTAGTCAACAACGTCCGCTTCCTCTTTGCCAACTTATTACTCCTCTCTCCCTATCATCTCCAAGCTCGAGAGAAAAGAGCCCGAGTGCCACATCAAGCTTCTCTACCCAAAGCTTGAGTGGTTGTGGGGAACGCGAAAGCCTCTTCAGCCCACTAACAACAACCACCTCGTTTAACAACCTTCGCCACGCAAAACCACTCCAGTACATTACTCCGGACCAAAAGCCCAATCTATCTCTGCATGGTAGCAACACCGAGAATCACATACGAGGTCGCTACTCTGTCGTCGAAGCATCCTTTGCCATTGTTAAAGGTCGCCATCGTTGCGACTTGTCCGTTGTGGCTGCCGCGACCCATTCGACTGACTCTTTGAGATCGGGTCTCGCATCGCTTGGCTGCGAATTTCACGGCTCAGGGTTGACATCTCTCTGTAGCTGTCATATCAACGACAACCGCGTCTGCCGGTGTACCTCGCCTGGCTCATCTTGGACACATTACCCATCCACGAACATCCTCCTCCACGGCCTCTTGACCATTTCACGAAAAGAAGAAGAGAATTCACATGATCGAGGGAGTCCTCAACCTGGGGATACTCGGCGAATCATCGACCTTGTCACAGTGTCGGATCAAGACCAAACATCGGCCACGGCGTTATCAGACGCATCTCCGTCGCACGGCACAGACCTCATCAACACAAGTCGCGGCGTCTTGTCTGCGTCTTGCTCATCCTCCGTCCACCAAGTCGCCAATCCCACCTAGAACCCTCCTATTACCACCACCAGACACCGACAAGGCGCTTCTCCCGCAGCGGCCCTAATGACGACCGCAACGCCCGCACCGAGCATGCCCTCCCCCCCTCCCACGACCACCAGCACCACCGCCGGCCACAAGCCCATCCCCGCCTCCTCAACACTGCCGACGCCGCCGGCGGCCTGGGACGTCCGGAGCTGGCAGGACCCCGCCACCGCCATGCTCCTCCCGCAGGTCTCCACGCAGCGGATGCTGATCCCAGTCGAGGTCTACGTCGACTTCATCTGCCCGTGGTGCTACATCTCCATGCGCAGCCTCGAGGCCGCCATGGACGCCTTCGTCGCGCGCCACCCCGAGGTCGAGTTCGAGGTGCACTGGCGGCCCTTTTACGTCGCGCCCATGCTGCGCCGCAGCCGCCCGACCCTCGACTTCTACGCCGGCGCCGTCCCCGAGGAGGACAAGCTGCGCGCGCTGCTCGAGCGCATCCGCGTCGCCGGCGTCGCCCACGGCCTGGCCTTTGACTACGCGGGGCGCGTCGGGCCGACGCGTGATGCGCACAAGCTGGCCGCGCTGGCGGCGAGGAGGGGAGGGCGCAGGGCGCAGGCACTGATGGTGGAGAGGCTGATGCGCGCGGGCCTGGTGGAGGCCCGCGATATATCGGACGCGGAGGTGCTGGCGCAGGTGGCGGCGAGCGAGGGGCTGGGGCTGGACCGGGCGGATGTATTTCTGGAGTTGGCGGACGAGGACGCTTCGAGGCGCGTGGACCGCGAGGTCGAGAACGCGCGAGAGGTCCGCGGCATAGAGGCCGTACCGTGCGTCACGGTGCTCAGCCGGTTCAAGGTCGGCGGCTTCCAGGACTCGCAGGTGTTCACGGACCTGTTTACCAAGATTTACGACGAGAAGATTGCGCAGTAGGGCCTGGCCGTGACGAGGCTGGCAGGGCAGATTGCTTGCGACGACGACACGGGAGACGACGAAGAGAGAGAGCAACACACATCATTGCACAGCATTGCTTTGCAAAGCATATCGATCGGATATTCAACAGATCATCCACATCCAAAGATCTATTTCGAGCCCTTCCTTCTATCATTCTCGTTCCGGCAGACCGTATACTCGATAATACCATTCTAGGATGCGTCGGCGGTCTAAGTTCTCAGCAGGTTTCAAATTACCCAACATGTTGCCCTTTTTTCAATACCTTCTACCGTTTCATATTCAGCATGCATTTTTTTTCCGGCGAGAAAGTCGCCTGCCCCTTTGACCTTTTCTTTAGGTGGGATATGCAGTGACCATGGATGGCCCTGCTTTACGAGACTCGCTGCCTTTTATTAGACATACCTACCTATTCATGATTTAGCGACTTGATGAATTCTATTACGATTTCGGCTATGTAACTGTCCGTGAAACCCCGTCCATAATTACAGTGTGACTTAAAAGCCGACCCAAAAGTCCAAAAGCCTCCTCTCATGTGCATGTCTCCTCGCGGTTCTGGTAGTCACCTTGAGGCTATTCCGCCGATCAAATGGCAGAACACTTCTCAAGCAGCATTAAAGAACGAGTATCATTATATTTCCAATTTTAAAGATCCTATACCATTGCTTCCCGAGTATATCTGACGACCGAATTGCACTCGCAACAAATAATAAGACAAACGCCCAAACACCCGCTATTCCCAGTCTTAAAAAGTTTCTACTGTGTTCCTTAGCCTTGCCAATTTTCTAGCGAACTGAGCTGACAAGATGATGATGCAAGTATTTTTGGTAAAGAAAGAAAGAAGAACGCCTGCGCAAGGGGGGACACCGTTGGCCCAAAGCGCACAAAATGATGACATCCGTATTATACACACCTTTTCCCATCCCTGACTTCGTTCTCCAGCCTGCCTCATTCAGCCTCTGAATGTGAGCACAATCACCGAAGCCTCGCGCGCAACCCGAGCCAACATGCACAGACAACCACTCAGCGTCGTAGGTTGCTGTAGTCTTGCAAGAGGTGCGTCATGTGGACGTTGGTCTGCTTGCCGCCGCGCTTGCTGACGCGCTTCTTCTGCACCTTGGGCTTGTTGCCGGCGGCCGCGGCGGCCTTGCGCGGGTCCTCGCTGGTGGGCTTGAGCTGGACGCTCGTCAGCTTGCGGTGCATGTCGTCGACGCTGGGGATCTGGACGCGGCGCCACAGGGCCTGGAACTCGGGTTGGATGGCGTGGTGCAGCGACGCGTCGTCCAGCCAGACGTGGCGCGGCAGGTTCTCGCGGTTCGTGCGGGTCACCAGGACCTTGTGCTGGGCCTCCAGCCGCGCCAGCGCCTCCTCGCAGTCGGGCCAGCCGTCCTTGAGGTCGCGCACCGCCAGGCTCGACGCGTCCGTCTTGCGCTGCAAAAACGCCAGCAGGCTCGTCTCGTCCTTGACGCCGGGTACCACCGGGCGGTAGGCGTACGTGCCGGTGCGCCACGTCTGCTCGGTCAGGCTCGTGTCCGGCCGCCACTCGACGCGCGGGTGGCCGCGCAGGCCGTCGGCCAGCTCCCGCTTGTGCTCGTCCGACGTGCCGCGCACGCTCAGGTGGTCCACGATGTCCTTCATCGTCTTGGCCCCGCCCCGCGCCTTGAGGAAGTCCACGGCGAACTTCATGTGCGACTTGACGTCCACGCCATAGCCCGTCAGCTGCGGTTGCGAGTACACCTCCGGGTGCGCGTCCCGCTTGCGCTTCGCCGTCGGCGTCGGCGTCGCCCCGTCTGAGGCCGCCGACGGCGACGGCGACGGTGGCGCCAGCGAGGCCGCCTTGACGCTCATCGGGTTCGAGAGCTTCGACGCCGCCGACGCGAGCGTGCCCTTGAAGGCGGCGGACTGCTTCTCCAGGTAGGAAGACATGGCGGGCGAGAGACGGGAAACGGGGTCAACTGATGGGGACCTGCTGCGGCGGGCAGCAGCGTCGGCGCGCGGTAAAGGATTCTGTTGTAGTTCGCGTGCGGTAAGTCAGTCGATGCGTGAAGAGTCCAAGAGCAGTCCCGAGGGTTGATGAGAAACGGGGGTGGCGATGCGAGAGTTGCAAAGGAACACAAAAGCCTTCGTCGGCTGATGAAACTATTGGAACCAAGTCGCACCAAACTCCAGGCAGTGCGATGTGGCTAGTGGGTGTGGCGCCACAAACAATTTGTGGCTAGTGGATTTGTTGGTGCAGTTCTCCGAGGCGTATCTACTCAGCCAGCGGCTTGAGTGGTGCACAAGTTACGATTTTGGGTGCGACATGCAGTTTCCGTTGCTGCTGCTGCGTATCTGCAAAATTTCCCATATGTATCATTGAATTAAAACAGTTGTATCTAAAACGCAAAATCTATCCGCGATGCACTGCCAACCCGCACCTCAAAGTTCTACCTGTAAGATAGGCGCGGAGGCGGAGCATCAGTTGCGCGTGCGCCGTTCTATCAAAACCAGTCACGCACCGTGCGTAATCCCGTCATACGAAAGCACGACGTGAGGACCCCATTCCGTTCAACGCTTGAGCCGTATGCAAACTCCCAATTTTAATCTCATTTCTTCGACATGAATCCCACTGCGGCGAGGTCGTGCAAGGCTGGCTTTGCAGCTAGCATGTGACGGCGCCAGCAGGCCCTGCCTGTTCGTCGCAAAGAGGCAGTTACCGGACTTAAGCAGACTGCTGTTGTTGTTGTTGGTTCTGGAGGTACTGGTAGCCAACGTATCCGATAATGCCACCGATGAGAACAATGCCGTAGAGGCCAATGCCGAGGCCGGTGCTGTCGGCGCTGCCAGAGTTGGCAGCCTTGGCGGTAGGCGCGGCCTTGGGGGCAGGGTCGCCGGGCTGTAGCATGTCGAGTTAGAAAATGCAGAGTGGCTGGGGGGGCACACACTTGGTTGGGTATCCGGTGGTGCTAGTAGTAGGCGCAATTGCCCGTGGGTGCTTACCTGGCGCTTCAGGGTGCCGACGAGGAGCTCGTCGAGGCTCTCGCGAGCCTCGTCGGAGTGGCCGACGTCCTCGAAAGCCTCGGAGGCGTCCTGACCAGCGACATCAAGAATAACCTCCTCACCACCACTAGGCAAGACGGAGCAGCAGTCAGTAGAGTGTCCTTGGAGGTGGCGTGGTGCAATGGCCGGTTTGCGCCGCCTCAGATAGGGTTTTGACTTACGGGTGCTCGTCAATGAACTTGGAGCAGTCGTAGACCTTATCGTGGACTACCAGGAAGCAGTCCTTCTTGGTGTTGTGCTCGGCAACATCCTGAAAGCTGAACTCCTTGATTTCGGACATTTTTTCTGGTTCGGTCGACGGCGTGGTAGGTATTAGGGTATAGGGGGAGGGTTCGCGTAGAAAAGGGATGGCTAGTCCGTTGACGTCGGGGATGCTGTCGACAGAGGTCGGATTGCGCAAAGGCTGAAAAGTAGAAATGGACACGACGGAAGTGAAGTGGAAGCTGAGAGAAGGTGTGGAAGTCAGATCAGCACGGAGAAAGTGGTCAGCCCAGTCGGTCGGGAGTGCGTGGTTGCGCAACGGAGAACGGAAAATGGTCTGGGTGTTCCGGGCCAGGTCTTTGGGGCGGCCGGATAGCGCATTGGGTGCCCTGGAGGCCCGCTGGATAGACCCTGTGGCGCGCCCTAGAACGACGCCTGTCTGCCCCAACATAAAAAAATGCAATCAAAAAACCGAGAGACCAGTGGTCCACATGTCTTGACAAGCAACCAATTGCAGCCTTGCAAATTACCGTTTGCTGGCTCCTATTCGTTGGGGGGTGGCGGGCCGAGGGACAACAATTGGACTCTGACTCTGCAAGCTGACTGGAACAGGGCATGGAACTCAGCGGAGAGCGCTGCGAAACCGCCCGACGTCCACTGGCTCGTGCCTGCAGCTGGAGCTGGAGAGAGGGGTACCTGGAGCGGGATCCTCCAGCACTCCGACATCGAAGCCGAAGTTCCATCCTTGCACTGTGGCGTCCCGGCCGTCCGCTGATGAAGCCAGATCACTCTTTTGATCTGCGGAAAGGGACAAAAGACCGCCGTTCGATGCTATGCTCGGCAATAAGTTACATTTCAACCCAGGACTTGCCGATGTTGAGTCCCGACAGATAAGTCGGCCGATTTATAAAATATCACTCTTAGGCCCTGTCATTCACATATGTACAGTAGGCTGCCTTTTCGAGTGAGAACCCCCATTGGAAAATTGCCCCGAGCTTCCCCCAGATTTTTCTCTTCCTTCAACCCCTGATTCACCAACCGCACCCGCCAACATGTGAAACCAAGTAGAACCCAGACGTCTCCTTCATCTTACCCACCTTACTCTTCTCCTCAATCCCCCAGGCAACATCTGTGGGCATAATTATCACGTCTATCGAAACTGCTGATGACACAATCTTGTATGGGTCAGATGCTGAGGTCAAGGCACTTCATTCGCAGAGCCCATTGTCAAACACTCACAATGGAATTGTTCTTCTTTCAGGCCACTCTCTTGCCAAAGCTTACATGCCACACTGCCTCGCCGATGCGATGAAAGCGAGCCAAATTGCGCAAGCTCTCGGGATAAGAACGCCACGACTGATACGGTCCATTCATGGCCCAGATATAGAGTACCTTGTCATGGAACGAATCGACGGCAGGACACTGAAAGGTGCCTGGCCTGTGCTAAGCTGGTACGTCTCGCTTCGGCTTGCCTTCCAGCTCCGCCGCTTTGTTTCCTCGATGCGGTCGACTACCTCGGAGAGTGCTGGATCGATTGTCACAGGCAGTTGCCGCTCGTTCTGGTTGGATGACAGGTTTGGGCTACCCGCCATGTTTTACGGGCTTTCTGGCCTGTTGGACAGGGTTCAGATCCATTCAGCAGAATACAGAAAAAGCAGAGACGAGCATGCAGCTTTGACAGGATCGCCAGATCTTAAAGTGAAGACATTTGTGCTAACGCACCATGACCTTGACCCTCGCAACATTATGGTTGACGTGTTAGGGGACGCATGGCTGATTGACTGGGATCTTGCTGGGTACTACCCAATCTACTTTGAGTACGTGTCTATGTCGAATTTCACTTTTCCTGAAAGCTGGCGGTTCTTTGGGCGGCTACGATGGCAGATTGTCAAGTGGCTAACGGTTAGGCGGTATGATAAGCAGAGGGAATTGCTCTGGGCGATCAGATCGAAGTTCCTACGGTTTTCGGCAGGACCGTGTCAAGGCAAAAGTCACCAAACCAAGCCTCGAGACAGCGCTGGAATCGTCCCAATCATGTGAATAAAGTACAAAGAGGGGACTCTAGCATTACCCACCGTTGCCTAGTACAGCAATCATGCCTTAACTCGGCAGTGTAGACGGTCATATTACAGGGCTGATCAACCCGCTGTGGAGGAGGTTGCGCACCAGCTCCAGATCAGCCAGCGAACAAGACATATCTCAAGCAACGTCAAGGCAGAGCTCGGTGAAGGTGGAAAGCGAGTACGAATTAACGGAACTCGGGATGAGTGGCGTACTCCAGTGGAAACGGTTCGCTCCCCACCACAAACTTTGAGCAGCTACTTTATTGATTCAGGGACCGATAATGAACAGTCAGGCCAGACGGGGCCGAGCTTCCCGAATCAGCGAGGACATAGGGACGAGTAATCCGGGGGACGGTGTAGGTAGGGCATGGCGAGTGATCATCCCGCTGCATGGCCTCTCAACGTGTTCAATTGCCAAGCTGAGCCTCCGGTCTTACTTGTGCACCTTCCCGTGCTTGTTGTACCCGGCCAAATCTGCGTTCCCCGCATTCGCGCGGCTTCCGCACGGACCGGCCGGCGTTTTTTCTCCCGATTCCGATCACACGGAAGCCAAACTCGGCATCAACAAACTAGTTGGTACCGTACTGACCCCCCTCACCACTCTACATATGTATGTGCGCCTGCCCACATTCCAGCAATCCTGCACAATTCTCTTTGTCCGGTCTCTCCAGGCGGCGTATCTCTAGTGGAGTTGCACACATTCAATCCTTGCCGGATGCCTTCTTCCCGCGGCCTTTTTATTGCGGCTCCATCGGCGTATCCATGACACCACAATCTTTATCAGCTTATGGATCACCGTGCATAGACGCATGCAATGTTCGACCCTCTTCAGTATTGTATGTTTGCTAGTAATCCACGCCTCTGAAGTTCCGCATGGCACATTCTACAACTGTATAGTTTATGACTTGTGTACCTCTGCCACAGCGCCTATCGCTTCGACGAACCGCCACCGATATCCTGGCCGAGCCTGTAGCCTGTCACCTTGTCCCATTCAATCTTTTGCCGGGTCACCGGCAGCTGTCTGCGCAGGCCCTTGAACGCGCCTTCGCTTAGACTCACGAAACCCTTGTTAAGTTCCTCCTGGTACTTCTTTTCTGTCGACGAAATCTCCTTAGCGATGCTAGCACCCGTGCCTGACGGGATCGAGACGGAAACTGGCTTGTTGGTCTGCAGGCGCACGTTGCCGTCCTCATAGTAGTGGACGTCGACTTTAATGGTTCCTTCTAGCGAGCCGGACGAGGGGTCGTAGGTGTAAACGGATCTCCAGCGGCCGTTCCTATTTGTCCCGCTGTGTTAGATTCTGGATAAACTAAAGGTCGGGCGGGTATTCTCTACCAAAAGTTATTGGGGCTGTATTTGTTGGCCACGATGATAATGGTGACCTTGGAGTCCGACTCAACCGGATACACGCCATAGGTAGCGTTGGGAAAGTGCTCCAAGATGTAGGCCCCGAGAGACTTTAATGTCGATTTCCTGTGACGGTCGATTGTTAGATGTTGTCGCATGATGGTCTTCGTTTGCTGCATACGTAAGATCGGCCTGCGTGCCCTCGACGGTGTGGCTCTGCACAGCGCTGGCTTTCTGTAGGACACTTATCAGCTGGCTTTCACTTTTTCGATTACTTGGCGGTACCGACCTGTGTAGTGTGGTCGAATTCGAAGCTGGAGGAGCTCTCAACGTCGTAGTATCGCCCGTCGTCCAAGCGGTTGTGTTCGCTGACGAGCACCTGTTCGGATTGAGCACCGATATTAGAAGAGCAAGCACATGTATTCAGCCGATGCAATGTCAACCTACAGATTGGCTGCTTCCAGGCAGCTTGACGGTAATCAGCTGCTCCTCGTTGTATTTTTGAAATGCTGGTCCGAGCTGCGAGAGGAGGTTCGGCGTCGACGCGGTAAGGATCTTGATATCTGCGTGGTAGACCACTTGTCAGTTTCGATAGTTCCGCCGATTTCGAGGTATACTATGGGCTGCGCGCATACCGGCAACGACATCAGCGAGCTGCGGCGAGCGAAGGAGGTTAGCTTCAGGAGTCTTGCCTCGCGGAGGGGTAGCTGGCGTCTCACCTCGCCGGGGGGAGCTCCCTCTATGAAGGATGCCACAGTCTCTAGTTGCGACATTGTCGAGATATATGCTGCAGGCAAGCGGGGAGTACTCTGACTCTAGTGACGACAGCTACTCTGGTAACTGAGAGGGATGAGAGAGCTTGTGTTGGCGTGACCGGTGGAGGCGGCGTGACGTGGGCGGGGCACGTCGCAAAACAAGGTGAGAGGGGCATAGTCGGCGATAACCACCCTGCAGTGCAAGCGAAAAGGCTGAATCAATACACAATTTGGGTGTCTTTTATTTTCTTTTATTGTCTCGGATTTATTGTCTCAACATGTTCTATATTTCCTCAACCTTTAGTCTTCCGGGGAATCCCTTGCTACGTCACCCCTTCTTGCCTTCTACGAATAGCGTGCATCATTTCCGAATCGCCGTCTCGCGCACCCAAAATGCGAACAAGAAAGCGACACCCGCAAAGCCAAAAGCCGGCGCAATTGATGATATAGTGGCACGCTGGTAGCTTGCTCGTACCATCTCTGCTACTTCGGGCGTCAGCTCCCGGATGTAGTCGATGTTCTGACGCACGCGCTCCTCAATCTCTCGCGCGTCATCACCGACAAGTCGACGGCCCAGTTCACCGCGGAGAACTTGCTGCAAAACGGCGGAGCAGATGCTGATGCCGATGCTGGATCCGAGGGAGCGGAAGAGGTAGGAGCAGGCGACGACGACGGCCGTGTCCTGGACAGCGGCGTTAGCGAGTAGAGCAACGAGGGATGTAGTGATGCCTGGGGCATGTTAGAATTTAGGCCAAAAACTCGGTTAAGTGGTCAGACAACATACTAGAATATGCGCCGATGAGGCAAAGAACGTAGCCTGTCTCCTCAAGGAGCACGTCCCTCCGCCACAGCCCAGCCGCGAGCACCGGCAACGCAGCAAACAGCAGCCCAAAGCCACCCACGGTCACCCAATAGAACTTGCCGGTGCGTTTAATCACCCAGCCACCGGAAATCGACGCCGCCACGCCCGCTACCATGCCCGGCACCAGCAGCGCGCCGCTCGCCGCGGCACCAAAGCCGTGCACGGCCTGCAAGTACAGCGGGAGGAAGAAGAATGCGCCCATCTGGGCGGCCATGGAAAAGAAGTTGGCCATGTAGCACGCGAACAGGCTGCGGCTCAGCACGATGCGACCGGGGACGAACGGGTGCGCGGCCACGCGCGCCTCGACGTACAGGAACACAGCGAGCAGGACGGGTGTGGCGACGCCGAGCGAGAGGAGCGTGGTCCGGTGCGTCCAGCCGCGGCGGGCGCCGGCGTCGAGGCCAAAGAGGACCGAGAAGACAGCGCTGGCAAGCGTGAGGGCGCCTAGGAAGTCGACGCGTCGCATCTTGTCGAGTACGTGGTCGGTAGATGGCGGCGGGAGGTCGAGCGCTAAATAGACAATGAGGGCGGCCACGATGCACAGTGGCACCTGTCCGATAAACGACCTATCCTTTGTCAACACTTCCACTGTGTACTTGGGACCTTTTGAGACTCACCACCGCCAGCCGATAGAATCCGCCAGGATGCCGCCCAATGGCGCACCGGTGGCCGTACCGGTAGCAAAGACGACGTTGATGTAGCCCTGCCAGACGCCGCGGTCACACAGGGGCACAATGTCCGAGACCAGGATGGAGACGACGGCTGTCATTCCACCGCCGCCGATGCCCGCGACGCCGCGCGCCACGCACAGCTGCACCATGCTCTGGGCCAGTCCGCAGCCAAGACACCCGAGGCCGAAGACGACATAGGCAAACAACAGGCACTCCTTGCGACCAAAAATGTCGCTGAGCTTGCCATATAGCGGCTGGCAGCTGGTGAGGGTGAGGAAATAACTGCGTAGAGGTCAGCGCTGAGAGGGACCGTAATGGTAAGGGCAGAAGCGCACGAGGTGGCAATCCAGCTGACACTGTCGAGGGCGTTGAGGTCGTTGCCCATCTTGGTGTACGAAGCAAGGGTGATGAGCTGGTCCACGGCAGATAGCAGCAGCTTTTTGATATTGCGAAACGTCAGCATTAATCTACGGGCAAGAGTTTGGGCAAGGGGCTGGGGGGGGAGATTCCTTACACCAATGGCAACGGCGGGCAGGAGGACGTAGATGCGGTTCCCCAGATCCCTGACGCCGTCGACGTCGCCATTAAGTGCGCCATGTCCAGCTTCGTTTTGCGCGATCGAATTGGCTTCCGGGTCGTTGACAAGAGCAGCGTCCCACGGTGCCAGGAGAGGCGATGTCTCGGAGCGATCGGACTTGGCCATTGGACTCGCGTGTTTCACTGGGATATATGTGTTTGGCCTCCTGAACGCGCAGGTTGGGAAATGAAGCGAGAAATGCGCTTTCACACTGGAAATAACAAGGCAGAAAATACACAAAGACTCCGGCTGGTGATGAAAGCGAAGAAGAGGCGTGCAAACTCCATGCTGAATGCCGTCTTGGCTGGATGCCTACTCTGGGGGTTATGTAGTGGGCGCCCTTGGGCGCGGGTCCAGGAACCGGGAAGGCGACCCGGACACATAGGCACCAACATCCCATCTGAGAATGAGTTTCAAATAACAATATTTGGCCGGTTTGTGTGACTGCAGGTTTTGTTTTCTGCGATGAATGAAATAAAAGGAGTGAGGTTCGTAAGATTGGTGAACACCGACCAGGGTTGCATTGTTGTTGGTTACGCGCAGGCGCTGCAGATATGGCTTGCCTGGAGTACCCTTTCCGGCCGAGATGGGCAATTCTGAAAACACAGCGTTCAAAGCTTTCACCATTTCCAGACGGAATATTATGAGGAGATATGCTTCTACTTGGACGGAGACGTGGCTCCTCATTAAATAAAAGGGTTAAGTTGCTCTGTTGACCAACACGCTGCGCAAGGTCTAACGGACCAACCCTTAGGCGTCCGCTTGTGGTTGCTTCGGAATCTTTCCTAAATTCATCCTAACTGACTTTATGACGGCAGTATTTATAAACCTATGAACTATGTATCATAGTTTAGCTTTGGTTGTTATTGCCCTGGGTTGGTGTAGTGGTTGCACACTCTGAGTGACGCACGGTTGCTAGATCCGCGCTTACTAATAGGAGAATTTTGAATCTAGGGTGGAATCTATTTCCAAGCTATCACATTGTCACCCTAGTATGTATGTACCTTGCTAGCGCTGTACTGGGCTTGGTGTCGACCTCCTCGTCTATCTTATATCCCCAGACGAACATCCATGTATCGCTTAAACAAAGGGCAGCTTGTTCTCTAATAATCCAACAGACGCTTGATGTTGTCATACATTCCTGAAGATCCATTAGCCATGTGTACATAGACTCTGTTTCAGGCATGGAACAACTTACTTGTAATGTCTGGCAAATGGAATCTCTCAAAGGCCAATGAGTTGTGAATATCCCAGCCAGCGACGCGGCGGACAGGTGCCTCCAATCTGTTGAAGGTATCGGGGTTTTCTTGGATGGCTGCAGCTACTTCGGAAGCGACGCTAGCTGTTGTATAAGCCTCGTGGACAATCATGACCCTTCCAGTCTTCTTCACACTGCTGAAGACAGTTTCCCGGTCAAACGGGTGAACGGTGCGCAAGTCGATCAGCTCAATAGACACGTCTGGGCGCTGAGCCTCGAGCTGGCGAATTGCCTCGACGCAGTAATAAAGAGGTTGACCATAAGAGACGACGGTGACATTGCTACCCTCCTTGAGTACCTCGGCCTTGGAGAGGGGCAGCTCATAGGAGGCAACAGGAACCTGCTCAACAGCAGCACGGTAGAGAATCTTGGGCTCCATGAAGATACACGGGTCGTTGCTGCGGATGGCGGAGAGTAGGAGGCCCTTGGCCTGGATAGGCGACCTCGGCATAATTACACGAACGCCAGGAACGTGCGTAAACAGGCTTTCCGGAGACTGCGAGTGATACAGAGCACCGTGGCCGACACCACCGCACGGCATGCGTACCGTCAGGCCACCGGCGCCTCGACCGTTGCTGCCATCACGGTATCGCATCTTGGCGGCTTCGTTGACGATCTGATCGAAGGCTGGGTAGACGTAATCCGCAAACTGAATCTCGGCGACAGGCCGCATGCCCTCTGCCGCCAGCCCAATACCAAAGCCGAGAATACCCTGCTCCGAGAGGGGCGTGTTGAAGACGCGCTCGCTACCGTGCGTCTCGGCCAGCTTCATTGTGCATCGGAACACGCCGCCGAAGGCGACATCCTCGCCGAAGACGACCACCGACTCGTCCTCCGCCAGAGCGGTGCCGAGTGCATCGTTGACGGCCTGGAAGAGGTTCAGCTTCTTGGTCGCGCCGTTGCGGACCTCGATAGGGATTTCTATGTTCTTTTGGACCACATCGGCGCTGTGGGCTAATAAGGGCGTAGAGCCATATTCGATGGGCAGGTTCAGCTTGGCGTTGGGAGGATGTGTAGAGTAGCAGCGAGACGCGTGCAGAGGAAGAGCGGCGGCTGGTACTGGACGCGGCGTTCCCAAGGCTCTGCGAAATTGACGGGCGACTTGACGCTTCATTGTGAGATCGGGCAAGACTGTTTCGCTCGGCTGCGTGAAGAGTCCCGGGTGAACGAGGAGCGATGTGGGAAAAAGTGCATCACGGCTGCAACGGGCGGTTTTGTCGACCGAGACAATGAGCAGGCGGATTGAGACTCGGCTTGCTGCGGCCTCTCGCGGGGTTGACGAAATGGGCCAAGTGCCTGGATTCTGGAGAGCCGGGAAAAGTGGACCGCTGTATCCCTTGTGCCGCGTTGGTTCTGGGGTAAGCAAATTGTGGCTAGTGGCTTGAAAAGAGGCTGGTGAAGATGTGGCTGCGACAAGGCCGTTGCTCCGCCAACAAGACTACCTCTCAGCCAAGCCAAACGCGGCATTGCGGCATCTATCATACGAGGCGGCCCACGTGAAATTTATTGAAGGCTGGGCCATGACGTGGCTGCCCAAGACATTCATGCTCTCTTCAATGGATTTAATGTTTCACCTGTGGCCTCCGGCTCCCCGCTTCCACTTCTCTGGCATTCCAGTCTGTTCACATTAGCATAGCCAGACCCAGACAGCAATGCCGTCGAGAGAGTCTCCTCGAGACGCACGGCGATCGCGACCACGAAGCGGGGACCAATCTCGACGACATCACGAGCGCAAACGAAGATCACATACGAGACGGCCCGGCACGTCATCTGACGACACACGAGAGGGCCGTGAAACGGGGGAAACCAGGGAAGCCAGAGACGCGCGGGAGAGACAAGAAAGACGAGAAAGGCGAGAAAGACGAGAAAGACGAGAATCGCGAAGCACGAAAAGCTCTCAGAAGCTTTCCGCCGGTGCTCTCGACCAATTGAACAAGGAGAATGCTAAACGCAAAAGTCGAAACTCTGATCGACGGCGCGTATCGCAGCCCCGTTACGAAGATGATAACGACCACGAAGCCGAACGGGCATACGAAAGAGAGCGGAGGCGAAAAGAGAAGAAAAAGAAGAAGCGAGTTGTCAGTGGCGCTGTTATGGAAGAGGGTCGCGCACGAGGGCATCAGCGTGGGTGGAGCGACGAAAGTTATGAGAAGGAAGAGCTTCTGCCACAACCAAAGAAGAAATGGACCAAGAAAAAGAAGTGGTTGATATTAGGCGCAATTAGCGTCGTCCTATTAATCATCATCATCGCCGTCGCTGTGGCGGTCAGTCAAAAGAAAAAGGGGGGAGGCGGAGGCGGAGGCAACGACACCTCGTCATCGTCATCGCTGGACGGGCAGGATCGAAACTCGATACCGGAGAAATGGCGGGGCACCTATCTCGACCCTTGGACATGGGCCACCACTACCGATTTCAACGTCACCTTTACAGATGAAATGGTGGGCGACCTGCCAGTCATGGGGTTATACTCGAAATGGGACGACTCGACAGCGGCCAACGACAAGGTTCCGGCATTGAACAAGGCTTGGGGAAAGTACACGGATCTGCCGGCGCGCGGCGTGAACTTGGGAGGGTGGCTGTCACTGGAGCCGTGGATCACGCCGTCTTTATTCGACTACCCGCTAAGTATGGGAATCATTGACGAATGGACGCTGGTGACGTATTTGGCCGATAAGGCAGCATCGACGCTGGAAAAGCACTATTCGACCTTTGTCACCGAGGACACGTTCAAGGCGATTGCGGCTGCTGGACTGGATCATGTGCGCATCCCGTTCTCGTACTGGGCTGTCACGACATACGATGGAGACCCGTACTTGTTTCGTACATCGTGGCGATACTTGCTGCGCGGCATCGAGTGGGCGCGAAAGTATGGGCTACGCATCAACCTTGATCTCCACGGGCTTCCAGGCAGCCAAAACGGATGGAATCACAGTGGGCGCTGGGGAGCCATTGGCTGGCTCAATGGCACAGACGGCGACACCAACGCCCAACGGTCACTAGACGTCCATGACCGGCTCTCCAAATTCTTTGCCCAGGACCGCTACAAGAACATCATCAGTCACTATGGGCTGGCTAACGAACCACGAATGGTGATACTGGATGCTTCCAAGGTCATCAGCTGGACCGAGAGCGCTTACAAACTGGTGCGCAAAAACGGCATCCAAGGCATTGTGGTTTTCGGTGACGGCTTCATGGGTCTCGAAAATTGGCAAGGCCGCATGACGGGCTACGATAGCCTGGTGCTCGATGTCCACCAGTATGTCATCTTCAACGAAAACCAGATCGACTTTTCGCACCAAAGGAAGGTCCAGTACGCCTGCGACGGGTGGACGCAGCAGACGCAGCAAAGCATGGACACCAGCACCGGCTACGGACCGACGCTGTTCGCGGAGTGGTCGCAGGCGGACACGGACTGCGCCAAGCACCTGACCAACGTCGGCTGGGGGAACCGGTGGGAGGGCACGCTGGACACGGGCGACCCCAAGACGTCGATCCTGACGCCGCGGTGCCCGACACAGAACAAGCAGTGCTCGTGCGCGCAGGCCAACGCGGACCCCAGCAAGTGGAGCGCCGACTACAAGAAGTTCCTCAAGATGTTCGCGGAGGCGCAGATGCACAGCTTCGAGAAGGGCTGGGGTTGGTGGTACTGGACGTGGAAGACGGAGAGCGCGCCGCAGTGGTCGTACGAGGCCGGCCTCAAGGCCGGCATCCTCCCGACGAAGGCGTATTCCCGGGACTTCAACTGCGACTCGGACGTGCCGGATTTTGCAAAGAATGGCCTGCCCGAGTACTATTAAGCGCGGCGGCTTTGGGACGTGGGCGTGTATGATGAGGGCGCACTGCCCGTCAAGTGTACATAAGGCGGACAATAATTGATTTTGGGTATGAGCGAACTGAGCATGATTTTTTCTTGGCATATAGACTGCATATTCTGAGGATTGAGGTGGTGGCAAATTTATGTTGAATGATGCTTATATATAGAGACCTGGGATGAAACATGCGCACAGATGGATTTACCTGTATATGGGATGAAATTGGGGATCCTTGTTTTTTCTAAATCACAAACCCGAAAAGATGCGGATGCAAATTATATATTTTTACTATACTATTTTATTAACTTCACAGCTGCTCGTGGTGGTCTTCTCCCGTTCCATTTTGAGTCCATCCCCGCACGGGATTGTCTCGGAGATGCCCTGCCTACCTGCTGCATGTTGCCGGCTGTGGGGTTTGTTGTTGTATCTTCTCTTGGGTAGCAAGGCTTCGAGTTCGCTCGTGCTCACATATTTATTTCCGTCGACCGCCATCTCCGATCTCTGCCGAGCCATCAAAGACATCGGGCATTGCTGCTTACCCGGCATCAAATTTTCGGCCCGAACGTGCGAAAGGCGAAATCTCATCCAGCAAGGGCGAATCCAAAGGTGGACTCGCACCTTCTCTCTTATTGGATGAGCTAGATCCTCCAGAGTTTCCTTTGCTGGAGAATCAAGCCCATTTCGCATTTAAAGTGGGAATTATCTCGCGCTTAGGCTGTAGTGCCGAACTGGAGATCAATAATGATGAGCAATTCGGCCCGTATTAAGAGCTTTACTTTGACCAGGAATGGATATTTGCGAGAGCCAGCCAGTATTTTTTTTTTCTTCTGCTTCCTCTCATCGTGTTCTTGTGCCTCGATGACGTTTTTAACTCCCATCTCTTCTTACTAAATTGTAAAGACGGGCCATCTCGGGACGCGACTTTCGACAACTTACCTTCTGACAACTCTCTTACTTAGCTTCCTCGTGCCGCCGGCCGCTTCTTCTTCTACGAGCCTGACTCTTCCTAGCCTCTTCGACTTAAGATCCGCCACTTCAGTGCCGCAAGGGTGGTCAAGGCCGATGGCAGCTCGGAGATAAAAGGGCTCGCTCATATAAATATTGCACTCGCCCTCCCAGGTTCCTTTTGGCTCTTTCTGTACCTTCCAGCGAAATACCAGAGATGACCGTCGACCTTGAAAAGCAGCAGCCACCCGCGGGGGATGGCGGCGCCGCCGCCGCCACCGGCCCGGAACCCCAGCATCACCACGGAGAACAAGGGAGCGACATTGTATCAACCAACAGCGTATCGCAATCAACACAACAATCGACAGAGTCCTTGGACAGAATACGGTCGCAAAATGGCTACGGTGTGGACGAACTACAGCCTCGGCGATCCCGCACCGCACCGGCCTGTTCACAAGAGAAAGACGCCTTTGAAGTAGGTTGGGATGACGGGGCCAACGACCCTCTGTGCCCCTGGGGCTTCAACAAGGCCAGGAAATGGGTCATTGTATCTATCCTCTGCGCGGGGAGCTTTACAGTGTAAGTACACAAATGGTCGTGGATCACAACACATGTCCCTGTCTACTTACACAATGCGCAGAACAAACATCAGCTCTGGCTACACATCGACATACCAGCAAATGGAACGCGAGTTTGGCAACTCTCGCATCATCTCTGTCCTCGGCCTCTCCCTCTTCGTGCTCGGCATCGCCTTCGGCCCCATGCTGTTCGGTCCGCTGAGCGAGTTCTACGGGCGGCGGCCCATCTACCTGGTCGCGTGGACCGTCTTCGTGCTCTTCCTCTTCCCCGGGGCCTTTGGCACCAACATCCAGACCATCCTCGTGTCGCGTTTCTTTGGCGGCTTCTCCGGCAGCGCGTTCCTCGCCGTCTCCGGCGGCACCGTCGGCGACCTCTTCCAACGCCACGAGCTGCAGGCGCCGATGGTGCTCTTCTCGCTCGCGCCGTTCCTGGGACCGACCGCGGGACCGCTGATCGGCGGCTTCATCAACTACAACGTCAACTGGCGGTGGACGTACTACGTGTTCCTCATCTGGACGGGCGTGCTGCTCGTGGCCGTCGTCTTGTGCGTGCCCGAGACGTTCCACCCGATCCTGCTGCGGAACAAGGCCCGGGACCTGCGCCGGCGCACGGGCGACGACCGCTGGCTCGCGCCGACGGAGAAGACGCAAAAGTCGGTCGTCCGCGCCATCGGCGTCTCGCTCCTGCGGCCCATGCAGCTGCTCGTTTTCGAGCCCATGTGTCTGAACCTCTGCCTGCTGTCGGCGATCCTGCTCGGTATCCTGTACCTCTTCTTCGGCGCCTTTGCGCTTGTCTTTAGCACAAACTATGGATTCAACCTCTGGCAGGTGGGCATGTCCTTCATCCCCATTTGCGTCGGCATGTTCATCGCTACCGCGACGGATCCGCTGTGGCATCGCTTCCGGATGGGCCTCGTGGCCAAGCTCGAGCAGGAGACGGGCATCAAGGGAAGAGCCGAGCCAGAGTTCCGCCTGCCGCCGGCGGTGGTTGGCGCGGTGCTGGCACCGGTTGGCGTCTTCATCTTCGCGTGGACGTCGTATCCGCATGTTCATTGGATTGCGCCCATGATTGGCGAAGCAATTTTCGGAGCCGGGTATGTGTACTTGTTGAAATTCCACATTGAGTAAGATGGGCTAACTTTGTGAGCAGGATTGTCCTCGTGTACACGGGCATCTTCACCTTCCTGGTTGATGCGTATCCCCAGTACGCTGCCAGCGCCCTCGCAGCGAATGCCTTCGTTCGATGCTTATTCGCGACTGCCTTTCCGCTCTTTGGGAACCAAATGTACAACAAGCTCGGCTTTCAGTGGGCATCGACGCTCCTGGCATTCCTGCTGCTTGCGATGATGCCGTTTCCTTACATCTTTTATCGCTTCGGCAAGCAGATTCGAAAGAAGAGTCGTTATGCTACAAATGCTTAACCATTGCGGTCATTCAATTTGCAGCTTTGTCTTTTTCTTTTTTTTTTTCCTTCCCTTGCTTCTTTTTGCATAACTAGCGAATTGGCCGGATGATCTCTCAGGCATTGCATACAGTATAGAACAAAATAGAATACCAGAGAGCGCAAAAGTAATAGAGACAATAACTAAAGCACTTTATGAAGAATTTTAATAGTTTGGAATTGTCTCTCCATTGGCGCAAGGCCCGTTCTTGGGAGCTTGCTGTCCTGCCTGCTGTTCTGTGAGCGAAAGCCACTGTGGCGCTAGATTCCAGTGGCACAGCTCGCAGCTCAGCAAAAGCCCATCCAGCTTCACAAACGGCGCTCTTGACCTCGGTCATCCAACTCACCCCAACATGGATCGGGTCTATGAATGGCGCCAACAATACATTGGCGATCGAGTCTCGGATGACTTTCTCTACGGAGCGGCCGCCGGCTGCCTGGCCACCATCCTGCTGACGCTCATCTCGCGCGTCGTGTCCCTGCTGCGCAACGGCGACGTCTACGACCTGGCGCACTGGAAGCTCAACATCCGCGTGCCCATGCAGCCTATGTGGATGAACATGGGCTACTGGTACGTTTCGAATCAATTCAAAATCACATAACTCACGTTAAGCTCACAAATGCTCACCAGGCGAACTCGGCGTGGAGACAAGATCCAGCACCTGGACCAGGCCTGCGCTGCGCTACTACGCGAGGTTCTGCGCGAGGCGGACCTGCTCGCCGGCGTCGCCGATGACCCCGCCGCGACGAGGGAGCGCCGGGCGCGCCGCGGCATCGCCATCCTCGACGTCGGCTTCGGCTGCGGCGACCAGACCGTGGAGCTCGTACGCGCCATCGGCGCGCCCCTCTGGCGGTCCTTTCGCTACGTCGGGCTCACGCTGAACCGGGCGCAGCTGCAGGTCGCGTACGGCCGCGTGGAGCGCGAGGTGGCCGCCATCGCCAGCCACCGCGGGGGCGCCGCACCGTGGCTCGGACCAGACTCGCTGCGTCTCCTCGGCGCCGACGCGGCGCGGCCAGAGTCCTGGCCGCGGCCGGCCCGAGCTCTCGTCGACGGCATCGGCGCTGAGCAGGAGGGCGAGCGCTGGCTCCTCGCGCTGGACTGCATGTACCACTTTGCGCCGTCGCGGGCGCCGCTGCTGCGGTACGCGGCGCGCGAGCTGCGAGCCGACCTGATGGCATTCGACCTGCTGCTCAACGACAGGGCGCCGCTGGCCGCGCGGCTGGTGGTGAGGGCGGCGGGCCGGCTGGCGGGCTGCCCGCTGGGCGCGTTCATGACGCAGGAGGAGTACGTGCGACGGCTGGTGGAGGCGGGCTACGACGGCGAGGCGGTGAGGATAAGGGACGTGACGTCGGACGTGTTCGGCGGGCTGGTGGCGTTCATGGAGATGCAGCAGAGGGCGCTCCGGCCGTACGGGATAGCGATGGGCAGTCTGGGCGTGGCGAAGCGGATTTTTGACTGGATTGACACCACGGGCGTCTTGCGAGCCGTCATTGTCGTGGCCCGTGTCAAGAGGAAGACGGCATAAGCTGAATTTGCTGCACCGTTTCGTGCCTTGGACGGTGAGCGGTGAGTCGTTGAGAGTCGAAGCAACTTTTGCTTATGAATGACGGGGTATAGGAAACTAATAGTAGTATCGCTATATTTTATTGTCTCTCAATGCATTTATCCTTGCTTCATATGCAACGGAAGATTCTAGTTCCCTGTTCTTTGTCACATTTGCCCTGGTTGGCCGCTGGGACTTCATCCACTCAGAAGAGCCACGAGGAGCAGGCCTCAGCTACATTGCAAGCTATACAGCTTTTCTAAGCCCTAAGAATCAAACAAGGTCAAAAAAGAATGACCCCGTCTTATGAAAAATGAATCGAAGCAATGATCCTTGCCCCCATTGCAGTTGAAGATCATGACCTGTTGCTTTGATTTGATTTGATTTGATTTGATTATTTACGTCTGTTGGCGCC